TTTTCTCAACTGGAAGCTACAGTATTTAGATAGCTGCTGGCAGTGCGGTGTGTAACTCCCAGTCTGCTGCATGTTAGAGGAGGAAGAGAAGCAGGTGGAGGCTGCAAACTGCCTTTAGTGTCAAATAAAAACTGCTTCGGCGACTGAGCCTTTCTTAGTCCCTCTCTGTCACTCCTGGTTCCAGCCCACCTTCTCACTGTGAAGAGTATTTTGTGACCCCCTGTTCTGGTGTGTGAGATAATGATGTATAATTCACTGGCGACCTTCATGCCAGCAGCTACCCGGACAGGGTGCCAGGTCAAATTGTGAACCACAGGAGATGCAAGGTGGCTGGCGGTCTTTGTGTGCTTATGTGTGTGTGCATGAATCCATAGGTCAGGTCTTTGAAGTACTTCACTCCTCTGCGTTCAGGGTTTTTGAGGGAGAAGTTCAGTGTGACATTGTACAAGGTGATCCAAACATCAGAGCACATGAAAACAGCAGCTGAACCAGGATCAGAATTCAAACCAATTCTGTCTCTCTATCTTCCTGTAACTGTTTCTTCACAGACACAGTGGTAGTAGGATTACAGTTACTATGTAACTTTTCCACAAAAAACTAAAAGTTTTTCACCAAATAAATGACTAGACCTGTGTTATATATGTTGTTGAATTGTGTTTTTACATTATCCCAAATGTTTCCATCGATGCTCAAACCAGAGAAATCTGTGATTTTAATCAAGGTAATGCTCCATTTAATTTAGTCGGTTGTTTTCAACCATATATTTTAACCAGATAAAGGATTTTTGTCATTGGACGTCTAGCTCTGAAGTTATCATAGAAACATTGGTAAATCAGTCATTTTTAACAGTTAAACTGTTTTATGGGTGTTTCTACTGGTTTTAATCCCCTGGTCTGTTTGTTACGGAGAGGAGGACACCTCTGTGGACAATTCGGCTGACGGTAAAAACTGAACATCTGGTTTATAAGTTGTCGGAGAAACAATCAAAACAAAGGTTAGCATCAATCTCAGCTCCCAACTCTTCCCTGAGTCTTAAAGTGAAGTTGTTTTATTCTGTGTTTTTATTGGTTATAATCCCCTGGTCCGTTTGTTATGGAGCAGAGGATACCTCTATGGGTAATTCAGCTCCAGATAAAAACCTCCTGAACCACTGATACTGATGGAATCTAAACCAGGAGAAACTGACAGTTGACCAAGGTCAAGACAACAATTCCCATGATCCCACACTATTTCACGATGTCACCAAATGCTGTCTTTTATTATAGTTTTGATTGAGAGACCCCTAGAAGCCGCAGTTACAGACTATGTGTTCAAAGCAGAATAGTCTGCTGTCACCTGTAAATCAAAATCCTGGATTTTCACCTGGAGATGGAGGTGGAAGCTGAACATAGTGAGCTGAGACCTGTGTGTCTGAGTCACAAACTTGATGCTTGCATTATATTTATGAGGAGCGACAAGAACAAGGAACAGCTGATTAAAGTCTCTCTGATCACACAAACCTGTTGTTTGGTCTGAATTAGCTTTGTGTGGTTTATTGTACTTATGCGGGCTTCTTACTATGTAATTGCTTTTCTACATCATGAATGCTGTAACACTGCTGAATGTCACATTTACAATCAGAAGTAAAGGGTGAGGATGGCAATGGTCTGTATTGTTATTTGCCAATTAATTACATAAAATTAATCAAATCAATAATGAATGTTTCCTCCTAACAAATATTTGTTTGTGTATCTAAAGCTTGATATATTATTATTCCATCAGTGAGCCTCACTTTTTTACTGTACTTTGATTCAGCAGATGAAAAAGGGGAATAACCCAAAGTAAAACCCATAACAATAATAACTTTGTTAACACATGACAATAATAATAATTTTGGTGACACACTGTCACTTGCTTCTTTTCATTTTTTATTGTTGTATGATTTGGGGTGGTTTGAGTGGGATGTCACCTTTGTTCAGCTTTGACTCTGCAAACCTTTGTGTTTGGTCAATGGAAACAGTGACCCTCACCTTTTGTTGTTCAGTGTGGGCCAGTTTTTGTTGCATATGAGTTTAGGATTAAATCCACAGTTGTGGTTCAGGTTTTTTAATTCAGCTTGCTGCTCATAAAGCTTTTGGTGTGAGCGACTGGTACTACATTTTAGTTTTAAAAATTATCCTTTTCGCCATGTTTACACCTAGCATCCTCACTACTCAAAAGTCGCTAAAACTGAAACTTTTTAGAAATGCTGCTAGACCCATTTTAATTTGAAAACTGGGGTTGTGTTGTCGTGTGGAGAAACTGAGACCTTTGGAAACAATGACGTAGACACCCACGGTCACCCCCTGATTGGGGTCTCATCAGCCTTGCGTACCAGCGGTGAATACAACATGGATAATGAATTACAAGTGTTACTGACCTTCTTGTCTTTGCTAGCAGCTGTTCAGTTAAACTCTGCATTTTAATGCTACAGCCTTCTTTGCTGTTCCTCATTCATAGTATTTTGTGCAACTAATCAAGTGCAGAGTAGACATTCTGCTTCCTGTTTACACCAGCTCGCACATGCCCAGTGTACGTGAATGGTCATGTGGTATGTGTTTTCATGTGTTGTATGTATGGAGATTATTTCTGATTTGAAGCTGAAACAGTCGTCTGGACAGAGATCCTTTAGTTTTAAAATGAAAACGTATGAGAGTGTGAATGCAGCCTGAGTCATGTGCAGACAATCACTTTTGTGTTACTGTGTGTTGTGTGACTGACATGTTTTGTTCCCTCTGTACTCCACCTCTTTGTGTCACACACAAGCCAACCTTCCACCACTTACATTCTTCTATGATGATAACATGTTGTCTCCAGTCACACACACACACACACACACACACACACACACACACACACACACACACACACACACACACACACACACACACACTCACACACAAACAGAGCGCCTGCAAGTCCGCCTGCAGTGGAAATGATAGCCTCTCAGTTTTAGCATCTCTTCCACTTCAGATCAATGTGTAGAAATTACAGTGCTTAGCCCTGATGAACGCCGGCTGAAACTCCTTCCTCCTGATGCATGTTCAGACACAAGGAGAAGTTAAATACCTCCTTCCTCATGTCATTTGTTCTCCCCCTCTGCCCCTCTTCCTCCCACACACAGGGGGGCAGCAGCAGGGCAGGAAGTCTCTTTTTTACTTAGCTAAATGCTTTAATTAAGTCTTGAAAAGAGACAAAGAGGTAAAGCCATCAGCTTCATTAAAGCTCGCTGCATCTGCTCTCTGCTCTGACATTAGCTGCCACCTGAGGACTGGCACAAGATACTTAACTAACCTGGGCTTGTGTCACTGCACAGATAAATGCTAGAGTGTGGTTAGAAAACCCCAGAGAGGCTCATGCATATAAATACCCTGAAGATGAAAAAAAATCTGAACTTTGTCTTTCACAAAGACAGAAGCAGCCAGCTGCAGGATTACCAAGTATTAACCAGAGTCAAGTATAAAAATGGCAAATGATGTCAGAATGATGGAAACAGGAGTTCATCTGACTGATATTCATGTCACACAGTTTCTCACTGAAACTTTGAAGGTCTTCCATCGTGATTTTCATTTGAAAAGACGGTCTGAGATTTCTCACGGCTCAATGTCAGCCCAAAGACAAGTCAGAGGCCAGTTAATTGTAGTTTACGATGCCTTCAGTGACAACATAGAGAGGTAGTTCGTAAGGTTTAATGAGGCTACTTTTAGGCCATCAAGCAAACACCAAGCATTCAGTGGCAGTTCTGGATGTGGGTGTTATCCTGACAAGCCTTTGCTCTCGTGCTTCTCTCAGGTGAAATAAGTGACCAAATTTCAGTGACATTTGCTGTGGATATTTACAAACCCTGATGTGTCTGTTGACCCCCCTGACCTTTCCTTTAGTGCCACAACAGGGACAAAATGTCCACTTTGCACACAAGCTCCTTTAATTAGTTTAATTAATTGAGAATATTGGGGATTGTTAGGCTACATCCACAGTACTATGTTTTTATTTCAAAACTAAAACAATCCATCCAGACAAGTGTTTTTGCTCATCTCTGTCCATACTAACACACCTGAAAGTGCATATCACATAACCATTCATGTACACTGAACATGCAAACAGTAAGCAGACTGACTACTCTACAGTTGATTAGTTGTAGAAAATACAATGAATGAAGAACAGGTAAAGCCATTGTAACATTAAAATGCAGAAACAGCTGCTAGCAAAGACAACAAGGTCAGTTACACTTGTAATTCATTAGCCATGTCGCTGTCACCACTTGTAGTCAAGGCAGATAAGACCGAATCAGGGAGTGACCGTAGGTATCTACGTCATCATTTCCAAAGGTCTCAGTTTCTGTTGTCCAGAAAACAACACAACTCCAGAGTTTTCAAAATAAAACAGGTCCAGCGGAGTTTCTGAAAGTCTCTGTTTTAAAGGCCAAAGACTCTGGTGTAGTAGATGCCAGGAGGAAATGTAGCAAATCTAATCTCAACTAATCTTAATTCAGTAAACAGAAAAGAGGGCAGTATTTTTAGGCTCTTTCTTCAGTGCCAGTCATCAGCTCACTGTTCTATCAAGATATCAATGCGAAACCGTTTATTCAGTTTTTTTGAACATAACATTTATAATCTTGTTGTGGGTGGAAGCTGCTGAGAACATTCATGCTCCCAAAACAGTGAACTTTTTTGATTTTGTTGACCCTCTCTGATATTTTCTCTCATTTCACCCGCATGACACACACCCCAATAATGTTCATCAAAACCATCAGTGCGTTGTTTAATTTAAATTTTGTTTTAATTTAAGGGATTTGTCAGAATTCAGATTCTGATTCTTTCTCCTCGTCTAATTCAGCTCACATTCTGTACATCACTGTCTGTCCAGCCTGATGTCAGAGTGGAGACGCTCTTGCTGCTCTTCTCCAGGTTTTGTCTTTGTTTTCTGAAGGTCAGTCAATGATAATGTTTTCTGAGACTGTGTTGTTGTGCTGCTACCCTCAGGTCTGGCCAGAGCCAAGTCAGTCCCCAGCCATACCTACTCCAATGAGGTGGTAACCCTGTGGTACCGGCCTCCAGATGTCCTGCTGGGATCCACAGACTATTCCACCTGCCTGGACATGTGGTGGGTAGTCCTGATCTCTGACCCAGTGATTCCCTCACACGCCGTGTTCTATTCACTGTGTGTTCTTTATTTATTCTGCTGGTCCCACTGAGATATAGATTTGTTTGTTCTTGGAGGAACTAGAAGTAGACAGAATCCTATTAAAACCCACTTATCAGTGCAGCCTAACCTGGGGGGCGGGGGGTCCCTGCAGTATGCTGCACATTGGTAATTTGTACAAATCCTATGTGGTGTATCTACTTTCCTTGGTCACTATTACCACAGCTAGCCTTTGAAAGGTCAACAACAGACACGTGAACAGACATTGTCCTCCAGCTTGTGTGATATAGATTTAGGGGTGAATGATTAGGGGAAATAACTGTTTCTTAATTACAATTTAAATTTAAACTTTGTTTGTTTGTTTTTCCACAAAATATATAAGTAGATTTTTTTTGGTTTTCAATGGATAATTTGGCCAACATTTAGTATGATATCACTTGACCATCAATCAAAAGTTGTGGCTGTTTTTAAGTGAACTCTTGTTGTGATAAACCTTTGCTCTTGTGCTTCTCTCAGGTGAAATAAGTGACCAAATTTCAATGACATTTGATATTCATGAAACCTGATGTGTCTGTTGACCCACGACTTTTTCTTTAGTGTCACCATAGCAATAAAATTTCCACTTTACACACAAGCTATTTACTATAGCTTACGTACTAAAGCTATTTCCCAAAGCCAAAGGTGATGTCTTCAGATTACTAAAGATATTAGATATATAATGATATAAAAAACATATTTTACAGTGTTTGTGTCTCATACAGCCTTATAGTCCACGTTCTACCTCCCCAGGCATTGGTGCTTCTTCTTTATCAAAGAAACCACCTCTGGCTGACTGCAGTGTACAGAGAGCTTAAATACCAGCAAAACAGCAAATTGATATTAATTAGCTAAAACTGAGTAGCCCACATCCTCTATCATATCAACCAACGACACCTTTCACCTCTTACAGGTTGTTCAGTCATTAATAATGCAGTTTAAATCGCAGCTCTTGCTGAAAAATGCACTCAGACAGGTCATTCTCCACCTGGTGTTCCTCACCTCCTCACCTCTGTCCAGTCCTGGTGCTGAACTTTGAGCTGAGCCCTGTGGACAGCAGGGACATCCCATGAGCCCCAGGTGGATCTTCCAGCACCCAATTAAAGAGCAGTTTGGGGCTTTGGGGGGTCTGAGGCAGAGGGACCATGTGTCTCCTTCAACGGCATTTGCAGGTGGACAAATCCACAGGGTATAGTTCCATCCTACTCTTAGCCACCCTGTGACACACACACACACACACACTTGGTCACTTACGAAGCAGTCTTCCATGAAGAAGCGAACGAATCAGAAAGTTGTGCAGATCTGTTTTAATGCTATGACAAACATCTATCAAAGCACCCTACAGGTTATGGGCTGTTATCCATGAGGAGGGAGGGTGTGATGGAAGCACATCACTGAGCTGCAGCATTCACACACAGCACCAGTCAAGTGTGATCATGATCAGATTAATGTACAGGTTCAGTTGTGGTTGCTGCACTGCAAAACACTTCCAACTTCCAACTTTAAGAACGAGGCTGATTTTTTTCTATATTTTCATTATTGTCAACAAATTCTATAAAAGCACTAAAACCAGCATAAGCCTGCTGCGAAGTACTTTCTGACTTCCCTTTACTCTTATACGCCTGACAAAGTCTTATATGTTGTATTTAATTAATATATGAGAATATTCTCAATAAAACAAACTGAACCAAACTGAACCAATCGCTACTTGAACTATATTGAGTCAACAGATATAATCTATTGAGACTGCACTCCTGTAAAAGAGGAGCCCATAGGTCGTTGTGCAGCACATTGTTATGATCCACAGTTACAAGTGTATCTGGGAAAATGCCTGTCTCAAGAGAGCAATTTACAATGTTTTAAAGATCAAAAATAAAACTGTCTATAACCTCTTTGAAAGAAGCAGTAGGAATTGCATCCAGTTCCTCTTAGCTAATTTTATAAAATGAGTTTAGATTTGTTGTTTGCCATCACTGTTTGCAATACTAGCTCAGATACTAATGATTTTATTTTTGAAAAAAAATGGTGCAAACTCCTCACATTTGGACTGTGTCGCAGGACACGCTAGATCACAAGGCTGGCAAGGATTTAAAAGATGATCGATAGTAGAAAATAAAATTTTTGGTTTCATTTTCATGTATGATATTAGTGAAAAATGCCGGCCTCTCACAACGTACTGCTTTGTTATAGACACTTTTGTTGTTGTATGTGATTCAGTGAAGATCAGTGGAGCCGGAAGCAGTAATCCTGTACACACTGTGCGTACATTTTTTAAATTTTTATTTTTTTTTATTTTTAACATCTTGAAAATAAAATTTTGACAGCAGGAGATCCTGTCTCATTTTTTGGCTGCATCCATTCATTAACACTGTGAGTCTAGATTAAAGAGAAGAGCAGGAGATAAAGGAGGAGTTTGGTGCTTTGATGCCCAATGTTGACACTGCAGATCTATCATGATATTGGAATTGATATGGAGGTCTTTTGTGAGTTTTATGTAATGGGCAGAAGTAGAATGAACTTCGAATATGCAGGAATACCATTTAATTTTATTGTCTCATCTGACTTTTTGATTGTTTACTGTAGCAGCTTGGTTTGGTCTTGCTGTTGCATATTGTTATTACTATCTTTAGTAGTTAGTTAGGCAGCTGTTCTTATGATAATGAGGGAATCTGTTGCTTAATGCCGACTTTCACTGCACATTTGTCATTTGTAGTCATAACTTAAGCACTAAAATACACAAATCAATCTCACTTGTTCCATGAGTAGAAATATGTACATTTGTGGGAAAAACTAAAGGTAGCGGACAGGCGATTCTTGTGCGTACTATGAAACATAATCCTGCCAGCTCCGCTGGTAATGATGATACTATTACATTTAATCAGTCCACTGGACTTGAATACATTTTATTCATCTGAGCCAGTACTGAACATCACCTTATCATGTGTCACTCTGTGTTTCAGGGGAGTGGGCTGCATCTTCATTGAAATGATCCAGGGTGTGGCTGCCTTTCCAGGGATGAAGGACATCCAGGACCAGCTGGAGAGAATATTCCTGGTGAGTCACTGATGCTACAATGTCTGAGTTTGTTTAATGTGTATGTATGAGTGTGCGTCCTGCCAGACACACAGAGACGGACACCCCCACCCCCCATCCTCATCCCCTCAGAGAGAAGATAAGGCTGACTATCACTTGAAAGAAACTGACAAACTGCAACAGCAAATACATTGTGTACAAAGTACCTAATTGCGGACTGGATGATGTTCAGAGGCGACATATTTCATGCATGAATGAAGCACTGCACAACAGACAGTTGCCAGGAGGGTGATAGAGCTGGATGGTGGACGTAGAAAACACGACTATCACACCAGAGACTGGGGTTTGAATCCATCCATCTTAGAAAACAATGCCATCCCCCATCGATTAAGTAGTGGACAACCTCCCATCACTCTACCCCATACATTGTTTGTTCTGCTATCACAGTAGGGGCTACTTTCAATCGGACATTTTATCAAACAATAAATAAACAAGTCTGGACTATTCATTCAATGCTAACTTCCAATACACAACAGTTTTTGATGGTGGATGACAATATGGAGAAGTACTGAGGTTCAAAGGTTCAATACCCAATCAAGTTTCCCCTTAAAACATATATTCCTTAAATGTCTCATATACAGATGCTTGTAAACTTCTTTTAGCAGAGGAGTTTCATGGACTTCACTCTTCTGCAAACCTGATATCAGGTTGTCAGAATCAAGAATTTCCCCTGATTTGTTCGGGTCAACGCTTCAAATATTCAATCATTCATTCAACATGAATAAATCATAATAAATAATAACTCTGTGAAGCTGCTTTCCTGATCTGTCAGCACAAGGGTGGATCTCTCTGGACAGCAGCAGTGGAGGAAGTGGGGTCAGCTTCTTATCTGGTTCAGACCTGTATCCATCACCAGAGCTCAGAGCCTGAGTGAGGTGAGCAGAAACAAGAAGGAAGAAGTCTGCTCCTACCCTCCTCCTCCTCCATCATCACACTTCTCCCTTATTTCTGTTACAATCAGGTTTACAATAACACAAGACTCCCGTGTCCTTTTTTGCTGTGTGTGCAGTGACACAACGGAGAATAAGAACTCAGATGCTTTGACTGACAGAATGAGGTTCAAATAAGCAGTTTGACTGATGATTGGATTCATCTATATTTAGCTGGAAGCCTTACTTGATATATAATATACAGTGACAGTAGATAGGCTCTCATTTCCATATACATTTCATAATTCACACAGTGTGAACGCAATGATATTTTTGTCATACTTGCTGTTTTAGTGTATTTCTTATTAAGCTGTAAATTTTGCTGGTATTAAAATACCATGCAGGTTAATTGGGCTCATTTAGTCTGGTGGTGTCAGGTATGAATCTTGGTTTGTGTTGTGATATACTGATGGCAGGGTATTGGGTCTGAGCTCTGAGTAAAAACACAATGTCAAATATAGTATATACAGGTGTGTGTGTGTGTGTGTGTGTGTGTGTGTATGGGGTGTGTCTGTGGGGACACAGGCAAAGGCAAAATGGCCAATTCAAAGTGGTCGCTGTGACCACACACTGTAAACCCGAATAAGTTCAGAAAACTTTTTTTTTTTTGCTGTAACTGATTACATAAGAACTTTTAAGTTATCCTGATAAATTTTTTGAGTTACACTATACTTAAAAAATGTGTTCAGTTGACTTAATCTATATTCTAAGTTCAATATAATTTTTTTAAATTTCCTTCACTTAATATTTATATCTTCTTCATACTTAAATGATTTGATAGAATATACTTATAAAAACTAAATTACATGGACTTGAAAAAATTAACTGAACACAATGTATTATATCAATAGTATCTACTCAAAATATTACACCTTAATGAACTTAAAATATTTACCACTTGCCAACTTAAAATGCACAAGACGCACTGTTTTCAGAGAGCTGTGTTTTCTGAGAGGTTCTGCCCCCCAAAGACATGCCAAAAAAAGTAACTGTGCAAATTCAGTTGTGCAGATATAGTTGTGTACATGTAACTGTAGGACTGTAACCATGTATGTATGATTGCGCAAGAGAAACATCATCCATGCAATAAAAGGTTCTTGACTAAAGTGTTCCTGTCAGAATTCCAACAATTTATTAGGGTATAAAACAGCACCTTAAAACCTACCTTTTAAAAAGGCATTAACAACTGTTACATTTTAATTTTTTTTTCTTTTCAGAACAATATATCAGGCTTAGTAAAACTGTGAAATGTCGAATAACATTAAAGTGCAGCACCTGGAGTCAAACATTTTTTTTTTTTACAAATATATATTTTAGCAGCCTATTTTGAATCATTGGGGATGAACAAACTTCCCCTTCTCTGCACTGTATTTTCTCAAATAATAATAATAAAAACCTTATAAAAGTAGCAGCATAGACATCTAAATTTGTGCAAATGAGGAAAATTAAAAACATACCAAATAAAACAGAATAAAATACAATAAATAAAAGAAAATATAATATAAATAAATAACTGAATTACTATTAAAAATGAGGGCATACTGATCAATGAGGTCAAGGAGGCAGTACAATAAAATAAACAAAAAATGTACCTCTAATTCTAAACTTATAAAAAGCCCACTGGGCATACGCAAAAGTGCTTTCAACATTTTAACAGACATGTCTATAATATCAGACACATCTAAGAATGAACAACAGAACAACATGGCTGTAATAATGTTGCTGACATGAATCACATTTATGCATGTCTGCTGAGTGCAGGCATGCATTTCTCAGCTTGTTTATTCCTTTAACAAATCATTTTTCAGGGAGAGTAGGCATGGTTTCAGTGGTTTGTTATCATCCAGACACATCAGCACTTTCTGGATGAATGTGAATGTGTGAGTGAGCTTCTTTGGATAATCTAAGTGTAATGCATAGATTAAACCAAGCAGCACCACAAATGCATCAGCCAACCTGGGAAGCTCGCTCATAACAACTTCATCCTCTATCACAATGGATATGTTCTCAGGGCTGAAGCTGATGGAACCAGTGGTGTCAGGGACCACAGAGAGGAGCGCTAGCGGTGTGTCAGTGGTCTCCATCTCATCTTCACCCTGCAAAACACAAGAAAATCAATTATAACGACCAATCCAGAAGGATGTGACACAATCCTTGTTTGTAGAGCCAAAAATATATTATTCCTTCCTTAACAAGTTCATCAAGTAACTTTAAATATCATAGTTCCCTTTCCCTCTCCTCTTTTCTCCTCCTCTCCTCTCCTGTCCTTCTTCTTCCTCCTCCTATCCGCTCCTATATCCTCTAGCAGGGCGATCAACATTTAAAAAAAATTGTATAATCACTCATATTATGTTGTAGAAACTCAAAGTGGCCCCATGAAGTAAAAGTTTTCCTCACATCACGTAATATATACTTATTGCTGTAGAAATATGATACTGGAGTGGAGCATGAGGAGGCAGATTGAAGCCTAAGTAACTTTAAATATCATAGAAACCGAGATAGAGGCGAGCTGAAGAAAACCTAAGGAGTACTGAAGAGAGCAATGTGAGCTAGAGTCAAGCCAAGCACAGAGAGATCGGTCACTGTGTGTGTGCGAGAGTGAAGCATAGCTCTGGCTGCAGAGACAATGTGTGTAGGGGAGGAGTGGGCACTGTGTGTGACTGGCAGATACTTGTATGAAACCCTAATACTTACATTACAGGTTTTGTAGAATTCAGTGTCATCCTCCCAGAGATACATTGGAAGTGCACGAAGAGCCAGAGAGCGTTGCATGTTGATGTCATGTTCTTCCTAGATTGAGAAAAAAGAAAAAATCTTTATAGAAATATTTTGCCAGCATGCCCAGTCCGTGTCACTGGTATAACAATGTAATGCTTCAGTTATGTTAAAAATAGTAATCTATCTATGATTCAGCAGGATGACTGACTACTATCAAGGCATCTGTAATCTGTAATGACAACACATTGTATGATCAGCATTGTCCCCATGGAAAAGTCAAACATAAACTTACCTCCAAGTCATAAATTCTCAGCATCTCTCGCAGTGCCTCTGCTCCCTTTCCAGTCCTTGAGGACTTCTGTCGATACAGTGCAACTAGTTTTGGTGTGTATCGGTCAAGTTCACAGTAAAACTGGTTGCGTAGATTCACGTTTGTAATGTGATGTAACTCTGCAAACACCTGTACACATATAAATATTTAGGTGTAAAAACAATGTGGAGTTGTCAGATATTTTCTACATGAAATGTTAAATATCAATTACTTTTATTAACTATTACTAATTAAAACATACTATATATTTACCTGTGACTGCATAATCACCAACACTGTTGCTCAGAATGACAAACTTCTCATATCCAACTGCTCTATGGTACTATAACATAGCAGAGAGCACAAACAGTTTAATGTTGCTTAAGATGCAAAATGCGTAAATGATTATGTATAGTGTATTACTTTGTCAATCCCTTATTGGCGAGGGCAACTCCGTTAGACAACCCTTCTCAACATATTATGATTTTTTGCAATGTCTAATAAAAAATAAACTTTCACATATGCAGCAACTGCTTTTATTAAAACATTTCACCGATATTTGAAACAAGTCGTCCTCTGCATATTTTTCAAGGCAAAGAACGGCTCTTTCCACTGCCCTTAACGTTACGTTGTTGACAGAAACGAAGTAACGTTAGCGACCTGGGCCTAGTAACGACACTGACGATAATTACTAAGTAAGCTTTAGTTTAAACCAGTTGGAAATATGTCTAATTTCGTAGCATATAACTTCATTACACACATTCACAGCGTCTAACAAAAGATAACAATATGTATTGAACTTTTGTAACGTTACGTTACTGACCGCTTCGCGCGCAAAACTTTCAAATCCTGAAGTTGGGGTCCCCCGGAACACAAAACACAGATAAAAGACAATTTTGCAACAGCACGGCGAAAAAAAGTGCGTTGTTGTGCAGGTTTTTTGATGAATATGAATATTTTTCCTCCTTTCTTCGCTCCGTTGCATCCCTCGCTAAGGTCCAGTC